GGAGAACTTCTCTAGTCAAGGGGAAGAAGCAAGCAGCCACAGGATGACAGTTAACACAAAAAGCCTAGAAGGAGAAGTTGGAGGGATGGCAGGTCTACTGGCTTCAGGACCTTGGGATTCCTGTCTCCAGTGAAAAAATGGCAAGGCCTTCACACCAGGAGGATATGGTCTGCAGATCATTTGCAGAGATACTCCCTGGCCTATAGCCACGAGCACTGTTTCAGTTCACAGTTACCTCTTTAGAGCATCTTTCAATGCCTCTCACTCAGAGACATTACCACTGTTTCTGAGGCTCATTCCTCATACTTTAGTATTTAATGTGAAGTGCTTATTGCATATATGTAAGGTTTTTTATTTTTTAATAGTGGTAAAAAAACAACCAAAACACATAACCATATCAAAGCACCACCACCCTGCCTCCACACAGCTAATCCTCCTTGTAGGGTGGAGGTTGGTGGTCAGTGGTCATAGCCAGTCCTTGCAGCTGACCAGCATGGGTAAATCCCTCCCATTGACCTGTCGTAGCAGCTCTACCTAATACATAGGAACAAACCCAAGGCAACTGCCAAAAGAAGACAAACATGACCTAAATGAAGGGACAGATCCAAACTCCTGAAAGACACTTATGGCCAAGATGGAGGCACAGTTGGAAACACTGTGCCTCCTTGCACAACCAAAATTAAGGACAACAAAGATTTAGAAACAAAAACACAACCAGAACAGACAGAAAATTGAACTGTATGGAAGTCTGACAACCATTCAACCAGACAGGTAAGAGGGGTGGAGTAAGTGGCCAGCAGAGAGGGGTCGTGGCAGGAAAAGGCGGTGGCTGCCAGACCCGGGAGCACAGGTGGCATAGGGCTGACTGTGATCACACAGTCATGAGCAGATAAACTAGGCAAAAAACAGGCATCGAGACAGACTGCACAACCCAGGGTCCCAGAGATGAGAAATAAAGCCTAAAGCACCGATTGAAAAGGTGCTGGGAGATACTCTTAGCCTAACAGGAGAATTTATTGGAGAGACACATGGGGTCCTAGAACATACACAAGCCCACCCACCTGGAAACCAGCATCAGAAGGGCCCAATTTGCTTGTGGGAAGTGGCAGAGGAGACCGAAATCCGAGAGAGAGCAGAACAAGCACCATTGTTCCCTTTCTGACCCTGCCCCTACATACAGCGTCACAACCCAGCAACATGGGTTGCCCTGCCTGGTGAACACCTAAGACTCTGCCCCTCATATGTAACAGGTGCAACCTGACCAAAAAATTATGGCTCAAATGGAAGAATGTCGGGAGCCGATCAACAGCCCTCCCTTGACACAGTTGGGACGGATGAGATGCATCTGCACAGCAGAGGTAACTGTGGCTGGATTTCCTGTCTGTCTCTCCCTTGCATGTTGTTGAGATTAATAGGTGGTCAGATTTTTAGATGCCTGCATTTCAGGTCCAATGATCTGCATAATTCCAATGAAGTGGTACAAAATAATTTCTTGGCCAGAGAACAAAGTTCCCCCCTAATGAAGTAGCCCCTGAGTATCTAAAAGTTGGTGGAGTAACAGCCCCTTCTCTACCTTGGACAGGAGTATATATTAATTAGAAGTAGACAGGCAAAGAAATAGGAGAAGCTGGTTAGCTACTACAAACTAAGCACGTAGAAACAATTACCAAGGAGTTATAGTCCATATTACATAAAGAAACATTTTAGACAGAAAGATAGATAGCTAAGTTAGACATCACAAAGGCCTTATAATGAATTTCCTAACCTCTGCTTGGTCTAGCATACCTTTTGCCCTATGTCAAATTCTAAGACCTTTAATAAACAATAAGACATTCAAACTCTATACATAGAACTATTTCAAATTGTCTGATTAATGGTTCTCCTGTTCAAAACAACTTTTGTTTAACATAACTGAAACTATGGAAACTTTTGTACTTTTCCTGGTTACCTCTGTTTTGCTCTTTTCTACTTAACTGATTATGCCATGCACCTGTTCCTTTAATGTTACACAACAATCTCTATAAAAATAAACCCTAAATCAGACTCTATGAGTTCAGTCAGACCCACAGAGGCTGGCTGTTCTCCAGCATCCAATCAGGTGTCTGACTCATCATTCATCGCCTGCACCATCCATCCTTTGGGGACTCTGAACCCTGCTGAGACTGTACCCCAGCAGAAGAACAAATCAAAGCCCCAGGGCCACTACTTTTAAGTGACCAAGAGATAGCCAACCTATCAGACGCACAGTTCAAAACACTGGTGATCAGGATGCTCACAGAACTGGTTGATTTTGGTCACAAATTAGATGAAAAAATGAAGGCTACACTAAGTGAAATGAAGGAAAATGCACAGGAATCCAATAGTGATGGAAAGGAAACTGGGACTCAAATCAATGGAGTGGACCAGAAGGAAGAAAGAAACAACCAAATAGAAAAGAATGAAGAATCAAGAATTCAAAACAATGAGGAGAGGCTTAGGAACCTCCAGGACATCTTTAAACACTCCAACGTCCGAATTATAGGGGTACCAGAAGGGGAAGAGGAACACCCACAAGTGGAATACTTATTTGAACAAATAATTAAGGACAACTTCCCCAAGCTGGCAAAGGAAATAGACTTCCAGGAAATCCAAGAAGCTCAGAGAGTCCCAAAGAAGTTGGACCCAAGAAGAAACACACCAAGGCACATCATAATTATATTAGCCAAGATTAAAATGAAGGAGAGAACTCTAGAAGCAGTAAGAGATAAAAGGACATTCACCTACAAAGGAGTTCCCATCAGACTGTCAGCTGATTTCTCAAAAGAAACCTTGCAGGCAAGAAGGTGCTGGAAAGAAGTATTCCAAGTCATGAAATCCAAAGAGCTACATCCAAGATTGCTCTATCCAGCAAAGCTTTCATTTAGAATGGAAGGGCAGATAAGATCAAATTCAAGGAGTTCATCACCACCAAGCCCTTATTATATGAAATATTAAAGGGACTTATCTAAGGAAAAAGAAGATAAAAATATGAGAGCAAACTCAAAGTTATTAACAACCACACCTAAAACAAAAGCCAACTAAGAGGACAGCTAGATCAGGAGTGGAACCATAGAAATGGAGATCACATCAAGGGTTAGAAACCGGGGAGTAGAAGGTGGAAAAGGTGAGAGAAGGTACAGAGAATAAGTAGCATAGATGGTGGGGAGAACATAGACAGGGGGATGGCAAGAGTAATGGAAATATAGAAGCTAAAGAACCTGTGACACATGGATGTGAACTAAAGGGGGAGTGTAGGGGAAGGAGTGTGCAGGATGGAGGGGAATGAAGGGGGGAAGGGGACAGCTGTAATGACATAATCAATAAAATACATTATTAAAAAAAACTCCTGAAATAGAGCAAACCAAATGAAGATAAGCAATCTATCAGATGCAGGGTTCAAAACACTGGCTATAAGGATGATCAAGGAACTTAGTGAGGACCCTAGCAGCATAAAAAGATTTAGTCAGAAACAAGTGATATACACTAATTAAAATAAAAAAACAATTTACAGGAAAACAACAGGAGAGTGGGTAAAGCCAAGAATCAAATCAATGATTTGAAACATAAGAAAGCAAAAAAAAAAAAATCAGAACAAGAAGAAGAAAGGAGAATCTAAAAAATGAAGATAGTGTATGTAGCCTGTGGGACAATGTTAAGCAATCCAACAAAGGGGTGCCAGAAGGAGAAGAGAAAGAGTAAGAAATTAGAAATCTATTTGAAAAAGTAATGAAAGCAAACTTCCCTAATTTGGTGAAGGAAATAGACAAGCAAGTCCAGGAAACACAGAGAGCCCCAAACAACATGGATGCAAAGAAGCCCACTCCAATACACATCAGAATTACAATGCTAAAGGTTAAGAATAAAGATCTTAAAAGCAGCAGGAAAAAAAGTTAGTTACCTACAGGGGAGTTCCCATAAGACTGTCTGTCATCTGATTTCTCAAAACAAACTTTGCAGGATAGAAGGAATTGGCAAGAAATGTTCAAGTTGTGAAAATCAGGGGAATCTATGAACAATAAAATGGTAAAAAATACAAATCTATCAACAATTGAATCTAAAATACAAACTAAGCAAATAAGAAGAACAGAGACAGAATCATGGATACAGAGAGTGTTTCGATGGTTGCCAGACAGAAGGGGAATGGGAGGAAATGGGTGAAGAGGTGAAGGGATCAAGAAGTTACAAACAGGTGGTTATAGAATAGCCATGGGCATGTAAAGTACAGTATAGGAAACTATGGGTCATAGTTCACAGTATAGGAAACTATGGGTCATACACATGACCCATGAACGTGAACAATGGTGTGGGGATTGCCTGAGGGACTGGGAGATGCTGGGTGGCAGGGGGCAAACAAGGAATAATTGTAATAATATGTGATAGCATAATCAATAAAATATAATTAAAAATAAATAAATAAAAATAGAAGATCTTTGACTAAGAATTTGCTAAATATTGCTAAGAATTTGAACAAAGAGAATAAAAGAAAGAAGAGTTTGAACCTGAGGAAAAAATCAAATGCTGCCCCAGAAAGGAAATGTAACCATAGTATACTATTTGGTTATGCAGGTAATATTTATATAGTCCTAATCATATAAGCAATAATTATTGATTGTTTAAAAACTGATTTTAGACTGAGAAAGAAAGGGAGAGAGAGAGAAACACTCATTTGTTGTTCCACTTGTGCATTCATTACTTGCTTCTTGTATGTGTCTTGACTGGAACCCACAACCTTGTTCTAGTGGAATGATATTCTAACCAACTGAGCTCCCCAGACAGGACCTTATTTACTGATTTTTCAACATTTAGAGTCCACTTATAGAACCAGCAAGGAAAACAATTATGATTACAGAACAAATCATAAATATTACCACATTTGATGTGCTACAAAATTAAAATCACATATAATAGAAGTAAGGAGATGGGAGAAAGGTGAAGAAAAGAGTATGTGCCAGAATAGCAATATCTTACAAAATTGGAACTCTGTGCTCGCTTCAGCAGCACATATACTAAAATTGGAATGATACAGAGAAGATTAGCATAGCCCCTGCACAAAATTGGAACTCTGATACTGTATAGAGGTGCTAGAACAAGAAATAAAATCATAAAACCTGAACTTACAAGGACTAAAAACAGTGAAAATCCTCTATCGGAAAGAGTGGGGGAGAGCAGGCTATAAGTAAATTAAATCCTCACACAGCAGGAAATCAACATACCATATATATATATATCAGCATAAGCATATTATTTAGAGCTATAGAAGTTGACTACCAGAAAAACAAAATTAAAGAGTCACTTCTGCCCTGGCTGGTATAGGTCAGTGGACTGAGCATGGGTCTGTGAAGCAAAGGGTCACCAGTTCAATTCCCAGTCAGGGCACATGCCTGGGTTGCAGGTCAGGTCCCCAGTAGGAGACACATGAGAAGCATCCACACATTGATGTTTCTCTCCCACTCTTTCTTTTTTTTTAATTTGCTTTTTTATCGATTATGCCATTACAGTTGTTCTATCCCCCGCCTTCATTCCCCTCCACCCTACCTCCCTGTCCCCACCATTCTCCCCTTTAGTTTATGACCATGTGCCTCAAGTTCTTTAGATTCTATATTTCCCATACTATTCTTGCCCCCCCATCTATTTTCTATCTACTGTCTATGCTACTTATTTTCTGTACATTCTCCCCCCTTCTCCTCCTCCCACCCCCTTGTTGCTAACCCTCCTTGAGATCTTCATTTCTATGTTTCCACTCCTGATCTAGCTGTCCTTTTAGTTTGCTTTTGTTTTAGGTGTGGTCGTTAATAACTGTGAGTTTGCTGTCCTTTCACTGTTCATGTTTCTTTAACTTCTTTTTCTTGGATAAGCCCCTTTAACATTTCATATAATAAGGGCTTGGTGATGATGAACTCCTTGAATTTGATCTTATCTGCCCTTCCATTCTGAATGAAAGTTTTGCTGGATAGAGCAATCTTGGTTGTAGGTCTTTGGACTTCATGACTTGGAATACCTCTTTCCAGCCCCTTCTTGCCTATAAGGTCTCTTCTGAGAAATCCACTGACAGTCTGATGGGAACTCCTTTGTAGGTGACTGTCCCCTTAGCTCTTGCTGCTTCTAGAATTCTCTCCTTCATTTTAATCTTGGTTAATGTAATTATGATGTGCCTTGGTGTGTTCTTCCTTGGGTCCAACTTCTTTGGGACTCTCTGAGCTTCCTGGATTTCCTGGAAGCCTATTTCCTTTGCCAGATTGGGAAAGTTCTCCTTCATTATTTGTTCAAATAAGTTTTCCACTGGTGGCTGTTCCTTTTCCCCTTCTGGTACCCCTATAATTGGGATGTTGGAGCGTTTAAAGATGTCCTGGAGGTTCCTAAAACTCTCCTCATTTTTCTGAATTCTTGCTTCTTGACTCTTTTCTGTTTGGCCATTATTTGCTTTCTTCTGGTCCACTCCATTGATTCTGAGTCTCAGTTTCCTTTTCATTGCTATTGGTTTCCTGTGCAATTTCATTCATTTCAATTAATTTCACCTTCATACGTTTGTCTAATTTGTGGCTATAATCAACCAGTTCTGTGAGGATCCTGATGACCAATGTTTTACTGTGCGTCTGAGAGTTTTGCTTTTTCTTCATCGCTTAGATTTATAGGCTCTGGGGCTTTGAGATCTTCTTGAGCCATTTTTGGTCTGTTCGCGCCCGTAAAGTGTGAGGAGCGAGCCTTGGACTCCCAGGTCGCTGGGTTGTGATGCTATATGTGGGGACATGGTCAGAGCGGGCAAATGGTGGCCCCCTCTGCTGTTTCGGGCCGCAGGGTGAGGAGCAAAGCCTTAGGTGGTTCACCAGGGCCGGGCCACTCAGAGTTGCTGGGTTATGACACTGTATGTGCAGGTGGGGTCAGAGCAGGGAAATGGCGGTGCCCTCCGCTGCCGCTTGCCTTGGGGACACGCTGGTTCCCGGTCCAATCGCCCACTCCCTTGCTTGTCTATCCGTGCGTGACCACAGTCAACCTGCAGCCCTGCTCCCTCGCTGTTTCCCCGAGGTCGCTTGCTGGGTCTCTCACTAGGTCCAACTCTGCTCCTGGATTCCGCACCTGAGTCCGTCTGACCGAGTTTTCCTGTGCTACCCGGCTCCACCAGCTGCTGGTTTCACCCCTTACTGGTCAGGCTGAAGAATTTGTTGTTAACAGACTTCCGAAAAGTTCAATTTTCTGTGTTCTGGCTGTGTTTTCTGTTGCTAATATTAAGTTGTCTCTAAACTTGGTTGCGTGAGAAGGCACAGGTCTCCACCTATGCCTCCATCTTGGCGGAAGTCCCCTCTGCCACTCTTTCTCCTTCCCTTCCCCTCTCTCTAAAAATAAATTTAAAAAAATTTTTTTAAAAGAGTGACTTCTCTGAGAAGCAACCTTGGGGTCAGGAAAGGGTGAGACAGTTTTATTAAAGTGCTTCAGTACAATTTTTTTTTAACCATATGCACTTTTATTAAAGTTCTTCAGTACTATTTTTTTTACCATATGCATGTATTGTTCTGATTTTTAAAATTGTAAAAACTATTTTAAAAATAAAATTGCAGAGTAACATGTAATCTATGACCCTATTTTTATTTTAAGATTATTTATTTATTTATTTATTTGAGAGAGGGGAAGGGGGGAGAAAGAGGGAGAGAAACATCAATTGGTTGACTCTCACTTTCCCAACTGGGTACCTGGCCCACACCCCAAACATATGCCCTGACTGGGAATGGAACCAGCAGACCTTTGGTTGTCAGGCCCACACTCAATCAACTGAACTACACCAGCCAGGGCCTATGACCCCATTTTTAAGAAGAGACCAAAATCCAATAAACCATACATCTGTGTATATGATGATTATTTGAGCATAGAGAGAGATGTAAAAGGGCTTACTCTGCCTGGGAGGTAGCAATAAATAGTGTGGGAGAGATTTTTACCTTTCCCTTATAATCTCTGTTATTTGTTTTGAGCATATACTATTTATGTAATTTTTTCTTTATCATTCCCTCTCTTTATAAACCACCTGAGAGTACATTTAAAACACTTTACACTTAACCCCTAACTTCATGGTTTATTTCATTAGAACAAAGGCATTCTGTTATAAAACCAGAGTACAATGATCAAAATCTGAAAATTTAACATTGATACACTACCGTTATTTAGTTCTTATCCTATATTTATGTTCTTCCATTGTCACAATAATGTTCTTTATGGCTTTTTTTTCCTGGCCCAAGATCTAATCTAGAACCATGCATTTCTTTGTGTCATGTCCCTTTAGTCTCTTTTAATCAGAAACAATTTCTTAGCTTTCTTTTTTTTTACCTTGATATGTGTGTATGTATGTATATATTTCATGCCTGCGAGTGTTATATTTTTTTCACTGCTTTTAGAAAAAGGAAGGGAAAGTGGAAGGCAGAGAGAGAAGCTTGATGGCAGAGAGGAGCATCAACTGGTTGACTCCCATACACACTGGGACCTGGGATCACACACACCCAGACCAGGGATCAAACCTCCAACCTAGGTATTTGCCCTGCCTGGGAATCAGACGTGCAACCTTTTGTTTATGGGATGACACTCAGACCAACTGAGCCACATCAGGCAGGGCTAACCTTGATGATATTTTTTAAGAGCAAAGGCCAGTTATTTTGTAGACCTTTTCAGTTTGGGTTTGCCTGATGTTTCCTTTTTATTAGTTCTAGGCTTTGCATTTTTGGCAGAAATATTGTATGAGATATTTTGTCCTTCTCAGTTCATCTTATCAGAAGGTCTGTAATGTTACTTTATCCTAATATTGCTGTTAAGTGTGATCATTTGGTTAAGGTGAAAGCCCGCCCACCAAATTTTTCTGAAGTTACTATTTTGTAATTGATAAGTAATTGTGGGGAGATGCTTTGAAACTGTAGGGGAGGTTCAAATTTTCATTCTAAGTTCTTTACTGGTCTAATAATTAAATTAACATAAAACATATCAACAGGAGAAAAACATTTAACTTCATAAATTCAGGAGCCCCATAAAAATACAATACCCGAAAGCAGTCAGACACTTGAGGCTTATATGTCATTCTGAGCTAAGGAATGGGCTAGGGGCTAGTGCTTCAAAGAAGAGGGCAATGTGCATGAAGATAAGAGCAGATTTTTGGTAATCAGATGTTTGCACTACCCAAATAGGTCTTTCAGATAAAAATTTATCTCTGGTAATAACTCTCTTGTGGGCCAGTCCTCTTATCTTTTAGGCAGTTAACATTTTTCTTTAGTCTGATGGGTCCTGATTGCCTTCAGCTAAAAGTAATCTAGATGCCAAAGTGACACATTTTCGGGTGGCTTATTCTTTTTCCCTTCAAAACCAACATGTATTTTTTAAAAGTTAGGTAGGGGAATGACCAGGAAGCACTTTAGAAGAGGGTTTAATGAAGGTCGGCTTATAGGACCCACTATCCTACCTGCTCACCTGGTCCCTCTGTCAACCATTGCTCTCCTCCTCCACTCTATCCTTTTCTGCCTTGGTTATCTTTAGAGTCAGTGGATATATGAGGCTCTGAAAGCTTTATTCAAACCTGAGACCTAGAGGATGCTAGGACAATATTTCTCAGACTGTTTTTAGAAATCTAAAAAACATAAATGGAGTTGTTTCAGGTGGTGTAAGAGAGGTAGGCTGCAGTCATGCCTGAAAGACCTTCTTCCCTGCAAGTTGGCCTCTGCACTAGGACAATATTGAACCCTCTGGTCCAAATGGTGTATCAGTGGTCACTGGCTCCTAAGGAAGGCAGGTTTGGACATTACACTTTTTCCATTTGCTGCCTTGAATAGCTATAACCCTGGCTACTGGGGCCACATCAATCATTGGCTTTTAAGAAGAAACTCTCAGCCTGTGCTCAACAAGCATCCCAATCCCCAAGCCAATTCTGCTTCCTTATCTTTTTTTTTTTTTGGTCCTGGGATATATATTGTAACCCAGAGAAGTGGCAGGAACATAGACAGGCTTTTTTCTCCTCTCTGTTTCTGAATCTGAAGGCAGCTATTTCCTTCCAACCTGCACTCTGTCAGAGGCAACCAAGTTGGATATCCAGGCCAAAGGCCTGACAAATCTCCTGAACTCTCTG